AACTTTGATCTTGGCAATCCAAAACTTGTAGTTAATCAAATTTTTTTGCCTTGCTCAATTAATTTCGACTATTTGAGACTAGTTGAAGGGCAAAAAGAGCTTTCGGGGTTTTGCATGAGTAACTCATACTAGATGATAATATATCAATTAGAACTCAACATGGTGTGTGAGGGATGATTTGCCAAAATGAGGCAAAATTTCCCGGCAAAATATTTTGAGAAATCGCTCAAATGATATGAAGACAAATTATTTGTTCGAGATTTTAAAGAAAACCAAAAAAAAATATATAAAGGTTAATTTTTTATTACGATCAATTTTACAAAAAAAAACAAACAAACATTTGGCGGCTGAGGGATTGAAGTTGGAATCGTTAAGTTCCCAAATGGGTGTGTTTTCACTAGCCTTACTGCGGCTACTAACTTCTCGTTCAATTTATAATAGTTTAAAGACGCGAATTAATTGTGCGTTGCGAGTTCTCCCGCACTTACAATCTCTCATAATTGAAATGAGGCAAACTAAGGCGTCATAGTAATTCCGTATACAACTCAAAATTTACCACCTTATATTCAAAATATGTCATTCCAAAAATTGTAGTTTGTCTCCATACCAGTAAAAGGTCAGTGGAAGCCTTCTGGGCTTTGCCCTGATATAAGAACAATCTTGTTGTTCCGACCATTTGAAAAATGGGCAGAAACCTTGTATTTGGGTGTTTTAGTTTTTTTTTTTCCACGCAAAATCAGCTACCACAAAAAATCATCGGAGAAAGTCGAGTGATACAAAATAATAAATCCCTAACAGTTGTAAATCGAACGGCATTAAAAATTTTAAAACTTTTTTCCCAGTGTCGAGAAAAACCGGTTTGAAATTTTTGGTTTTTCGTCTTAATTCGAGCGAATAAAACGAGCGAGCTGTCTCACAATAGCTTTTTTTAATGGCTGAAAATCTTATAATAGCTCATTCAAAACGTAAAAACCTAATTTTACTCGAGTAACAGTAGTTTGTTTTTGGGTATTTTATTGCTTTTTTGTAATCAAAATTTCAAAATTTCAAAAAAACTGCAAAAAATTTGAAAAAATTTTGAATTTTTTTTTGTTTTTCAAAGCAATTTTTTCTACAAATGAGTGTCTAATATGCCTAATTTCTACTTTTTGGCTCAGCTCTTTTTATCACACCACGCCAAAAAAACGACACTAATTTAAAAAAAAAAATTGTTGTATTTGATTAAAACTATGGTCTTTCGCAGTTACCGGCTATCCTTGTTATTATTAAGATATAATTGATGCTACAATATTTTTTAGAGGTAATCATGTTAGCCTTAAAACTTGTTTTTTTTTTGTTTTTGATATTTTAGGAAAATTGATATTTTCTTAAAAGCTAACTATGGTAATAAGATAATTAGCCTCTCAATTCGGGGTCAATTTAGAATCTATTCCATTTACTTTACAAAGCGAGTACCAAGTGTAAACAAAAATAAGCCATTGCCAAGAAAATGTGTCAAAAAATTTGGATTTATTTTTGTATATAGCATCAAAGAGAACAAATATTTGATAGTTTATGAAAAAAATATTTAGGGTCAGGCAAACTTAAACCATTTTCAAAGAAAAATCAAAAATTTTGGATTATTTAAGTTCTCCAAACGTTGTATAACTCAAAGAAAAATTTGCTCCCGAAATGTTGCTAGATTTTTGGAGAATTTTCAAAGTAGACTATACTTTCAGACATGTCACCAACATCAATTTCAACAACTCAAAGCCCCCTTAGCAATTTACTAAGAAAAAATCGGGACCATTGATCTGTGAGATTGCGTCACTTTGCTATTTATTGAAATGTACCTTGATAAATTATACAAGCAAAAATTATAGTTGCCATCGCGGATCCACTTCTAGGAAAATTAGCCAGGGTGGCAACATAAGCCTGCTTTGAAGCTTTTGATTTATAGGACCATTTATGAAGTAGAAAACGACTTCGGAGCTATTTCATTCCTGAAAACTTAAGTTTATCGAGTCGCGAATCAGTTCTTGATCAAAGATAGTTTTATCTCAAAATCCAAAGTACTTGCGAAATCTACCTGGTTTTCGGGGGCGTTTAGGTATATTTAGAAGCATAAAAGGATAGAATTTATGGTAGCAACAATAACAAATCGGGGCCTTAAATTTGCTTTTATCGCATTTTATTGACTCTGCCGATATGCGTTAATGCAACAATGATCTTTTTATAGTGAATGAAACACGAAAGGTGTTGCTTGTTCATATTTGAGGCAGTAAAAGGGCTCTATTTTCAAACAGTTCATTAATTCGGCTGAAGGTATGAGCGATGTTTTAAACCTACAGAGATCATATTTGAAATTTAATCGACCCCCATGAAGGAAAAACCCGTAAAACAGCTTTTGATCATTTCAGAGGGTAAAAAATAATTCAATGGTTATATTCAGTTCAAGTGATTACAAACAATCGAGTCGCCCATAATTTTTCTTTTTAATTCTGGGTCATAAACCATTCATTACACAATAGATTAACTTTGAGGTCGAAATAGATGTGATCAGCCTTTGCTACAAATCAGCTCCACGGGCTAAGGTTTTACGACACTAAGGATTGTCAAAAACAAACACGACAGGGAGGGATCTAATACTTTCTTGAGGCGGGCGCGGGTGACTTTCATAAGGTGGACTATTTTCTCGGTCGAACAAATTGATTTTCTAGCTTTCTAAAGACTCTACTTAGCCGAAAACTTCTGCGTATGCCATGTTTGGGTTTCGTAAAAGTTTTGACCGAAGCGTTGTGCATTTTTAACCTCCCCCAAAAAATAGTTTTTAGTTCCGTCAAGAGTTTTTGCGGTAAAAACAGCCACTGAAGTTTGGCGTGTTCACTAACCTTTCGGTTAAAAGACACGGTGCCATCGTTGGAGATTTCCATGAACTGCGCGTTGCGATCAAAAGTCACCGCCTTGACCAGGTAGAAATAGCTGTCGGGGTACCAGAATTTTTCAGATGTTATTCCTGGTAGCTTCACAGTGTTGAAAGGCGACCGCCATTTCGGCTCGTACTTTGGCATCCCCACGTATCTAACAACATGGATCCTATATTTGAAAGTGAGTCAGACTCGGGCAATGTTTTCGTCATTTCAATTAGGGGCGGATGTTGGATTTTTTTCGAGGGGGTTTTTCAAAAAAAATCTCGAAAATTTCGTAGACATTTTATTTTTTTAGATCAATCAAATTGGTTTTCCTAGCGCTCCCAGAACGCATTTTGGTAAAACTTTCTGCCCCTCAGGCAATTTTTTGACGAAGAAAGCTAAAAAAGGCGTTTATAGGCCCTTTTTGGAAACTGTTGACCAAAAAATTGTTTTTTTTTTCGGTGCGCGCTACCCACTCAAAATTAGTATAAATTTTAGATTCAGTCAGCCAAAAAACGATATCTCAAAACAATACAAAGCGTCCCTTTGGGTCGACAGAGGTCCCTAAATCCGCTACTGATTTCCATATTGAATGAAGCCTCAAATGTTACAATGCACAAACTCATGATTTTTCAACAATTTACCTAATGATTCATAAAAAATTTAATGTGCATTTGAAGCTAAATTTCCAGCTTTGAAGCTAAGTTTATAATGATTTTTTTGAAGTTCTCTACCTGGAGTCACGCCAGTTTTCAATCATGTAAAAATCCAGAGTAACGTCGCTGGAAACATCGCGAAGACTTTCCAGGTACAACATGACGTTCACAGACACCGGCCGATTGTTCCCGTCAGCAGGCAAAGATTTCACGGCCCATCTGGCAAACATGGACTCGTCATCGGCACTTAGGTTATAGCCGAACTCTGGCAAGTCGTTTTCTAACGAGGCCCGAGTCGTTTCACCATTTATATCGCCGATTGATAAGCTCTCAGCAAAAAGTGAAGTTCCAGAACGCCATTTGATGTTTTTTATTTGCGTTATAAACAAAACAAAAGACAACAAACTTCCAGCTGAGCTCATTATTATTTTTGATTAGTGTGACTCTTCTTAAGACGAAAAGTTATAATTTGAAGGTGTGTTTTCTATAAGTAATTGGTTTTGAACAGATTACAATCACTTGTCTTTAGAAAAGTATAAAACAAATGACAATGTCCAACTGTAACTGCAGAGTATTCGAATGCTAAAAAATGACAGCAAGCACAATAATGATGGAATTGGTAGGTACTTCATATTTATAAAGCATTTGTGTAATTTTTCAATGAATAATGTTTGCTTAAATGATTTATCGACTATGCCGGTGAAAGGAATCGAAATTATACCAAGCCTCTGGTAAATGCCAAAAAGGATCGTCCATAATTTCCGCTGGATGAATTCCTAATGCGCCTATCTGATTGGCTGAAAATGGGATTAATTCAACAATTTTGTCTATTTTCAGGTGTTTCTATATGTACAAAGCAGAGCAGAAGAGGCACAAATTATGCGTCGATGAACTATTAAAAGTAAAATAATAAAAATATTTTATCGATGTCGGTGAATAAAAGCCACTTTTACCACAGATCTGTTTTATGGCCTATAATTATTAACTTTGAAGAGCTCTTCATCGTTTAATCACAAACGCTTGGTCAAAAAAGGTGGCCCATTTGCCGACAAAGATCGTAATTTCACGTGTGCTACAATAACAAACAAAACATTTTTTAGTGAATTCTAAAACATTTTTAACTGTAATTTTATACTTACTTAGAGCATAGTATGGTAGGCCATAGTATGGTAGGTCATAGTATGGTATCAGGATAAAGAACTATAAACCGAAATATGAAAAAACTTGACGGGTTAAACTAAGATGGGGGGGGGGGGGTTAATCGATTGTAATGGATTTTTTCGAGAGGTTAGTCATGAAATAGACAACTTTTTTTTCAAAGTTATCGCATTTCCTGTTTAGTGCAGTTGCTACGTATTAGGTTTTTAGGCTTCAGAAAATGTTGCATTTCACTTTTCAATCTTTATAATTTGGTCTTATATACCCCGTTTACTCCTTCCCTGTTTACCCCCCCCCCCCCCCTCCCGTTTTTCTCCCTGTTTGCAACCCCCCCGGTTTTCCTTCCTGTTTACCCTTAACCCCCCCGGTTTTCCTCCCTGTTTACATCCCCCCGTTTAAGCAAATTTTTGTAAATGCTCCGATTTGAAAGTTTTTTATTGTTCTGACTTTCGAAGAAAACGGAATATTTATGGCTGGCAAGTTTTTTTATTCAGTCAATTTTTGGCAATCAAAATAGTTTTGAACAAAAAAAATTTATACGCCATAGAAGATATTGACTCTCCGATATCAAATGTATTTTAGAAGATATTTAACCTCGTAAATCAAATTAACCAAGTTCTGGTAGTTTGATAATTGCCAATTTGGCCATTGAGGTTATCGATGGCGTCACTCACGATGAAGGAAACGAGTGTTAAACATTTTTGCTCATTCATTTTCAGCCAATCATAATTGAGCATTCAATAACCCCAAAAAATCGCAAAAATCTCAAAGTAAGCAAATACTTTCAAGCCCTTTATTTTAATACTGATCGATTAAGAAAATAGCAGATTGCAGATACATTTGTTTTCAAGCCTTGGCAGATCAAAGAAACATTGCACAAAAAACTCAATTTTTCACAATTAGGCGATTTTGAAAATTTGAAAACAAAACGCTAATATTATTGATTTTGTGCAGACTGTGCTTGCTTTATTTCTAGTTCTACTAATTTTTATTTTCTTTCACTGCAAAAACCATTCAGCAAATAGGAATAGGAGCTTCTAATGATTCATCATGAGAATAACCCCCGAGGCTAGCTAATTGATCGTGTTATTTTTGTACGACTCAATTTATCTCATTTCTTTGATATTGTCCAAAAGTTTTTCTTTTTCCAACTTTTTTTCGCAAAAAGTACTTGATATGGATTAAGGGTAGACGGTACATTCAGGGCTTTGTTCTGATATACGAGCAGTTTTGTTACTGTTTAGAGCTGTTTCATTTATTGTAAAGGGAAAATCATTACTTTCAAATATCTCTATTATAAGCAACATTTCCTGTAGATATATTTAAAAGCCCGATAAATGAATTAGCTGATCCCTTGAAAACGCCTTGAATAGCGAATGAACTAAACCAACCCTTGCCTTATAATTAATGTGATTTTGAACGCATGAAAAAGGTAGCCTGTGGGTGAGCAAGTAGCAGAGAACATTTTTTTCTCTAACTATAATATAAAAAGTAATGCAAATTTGAAAAAAAAAGATAAATATTTGATAACTGAACAACTTTTGCCGGTTGCAGGACAAGTAGCCCAAAAATGTTCAGATTACAATGATTTCTGTGAATAAATTCTAAAACAGGGAAAAAACAATAAAAAAATTTAAAAATGAGCTTTTAATCATTATTTTAATAATCAAGAATTGCAGTAAAAACAAACTAATGTCATCAAGTGTTGTAAAGTTTTGTCAAAAAATTGGAAAACTTTGATTTTTGATCTTTTAAAACTTTTTTTGGTTCCAAATATCTTCTTAGCTAGTTACACGACATGATTTTGAAAAAAAAAATTAGAATGTGAAAATGCGCAGAGCAAGCTGCTGATAAAATTGGAATTCGAATTGCAGCTATTACATATAAATTTTAAAGAAAAGCAATGTGATTTATCATTCAACTATGTTTGATTTTTTTTTGGGGGGGGGGGGGTTCGAAAGATGAACAAATGTTCAAAAAACTGAACCCTGAATTTTTATCGTGCGTGAACGTAAAGTGGAGCAGTTTTAGAATTTTTTAAAAAAAGATAGAAATTAAAGGAAATTTTAAACAAACTGTTATGAGGTTTTTTACCTAGAACGTTGAGTAAAGAATTGAAGCTTCAAAGTGAAGTAATTGGCATCTAATAACGAAGGATCAATTGAACAAGCTCACCTCCCATTTCCGCGTGCGGGTAGATAGCTCAATAAATACTTGAAGTATGTTTATAATCACTTGAAGTTTCTTTTTGAATTTGGTTGAAATCATGCGCTAGGTTTTCCAAAGAATGAGGAATATAAAAATCACAATATTTTTCAAAAAATAGTTTCAGAGTAAAAAAACCAATTGGTCATATATTCAGTCGGCTTTTTTAAAAATAATTAGAAATTTAGCAAAAACGTACATTTTAATGGTTTTGAAGGGGAAAATTTCTGGAACTGAGATACGAAATTAGAGAGCAATTAGCCCTGGTAGTTTGCTTTCTTTGAGACAATGATCGCCCGAACATAGAAAAAATAGAAAAGTATTAGAATTACATAAAAAAGTATTAAATAAAAAGTATTAAATAACAAAAGTATGAAAAGTATTACATAGAAAAGTATTACAAAAAAAGTATTAAATAAAAAAAGTATGAAAAGTATTACATAAAAAACGTCAGTCTATCACTGGAAAGTTATAAGAGATTAACTCCTCAAAATTGGTAAACTTAGAAAATTTTGAAAACACAACAACTGAACAAATAGAAATAACGGGTGAAACGTTTTTGTTCCGACTTTCGATACGAAAGTAACGGAATATTTGTGCTCGGGGTGGGTTTTTTTTTTTCTTCAGACAAACTTCGACTTTTTAACTAGCCATTTTTGACGGAATTTTTAAATATCATTCAAAAAGTATTGTTGTCTTGAGCTTAAATTTGAAAAGATATTTCACCTGTGATCATTTTTCGTAAAGTTATGGGGGTTTAAAGATTGCCAATTTGGCCAATTTGGGACAATTAACGCGCGATATATTTCGCACTATTAACGCGTAAGCGGAGATTTAATCCGTCTTAGAAATTGTTCCAAATTGGTTGGAAGAAGGTTATTTGCCATAATTGATTTGTGCCAAGGAGCGAAATCTATCCTTTTGTACTTTATATGGCGTGTGGGGGGGATGATTTTGTTTTAAAAAAATTCAAATTTTAGAAAAAAAAAATTTCATTTTATTTTATTACATTTTATTTTTATAGGTTATTACTGCTCCTTAAACGTTCAAAGGCAATCGGAACATTCAGGGCTTCGCCCTGATACGAGCAGTCTTGTTTAAATTTCAATCTCATTGGATTTTTTTTCAATTGAGTCTTACAAAAATTTGTCTAGAAAAAGCACATTAAGCACGAATATTCCGTCAATTTTTCCGCAAAAGAAAAAAGATTTTTTTTTGTATTCAACTTCAGAAGTCAATTTGGAATAGTTTGCGGCCCCTGATTTCTCGAAAAGATGCACTTATAAATTGTTTTGTATGTTCAGTAGTAGCTCCGCAAAATATTGCCACCAACCAAAGAATATAATTAAAATTAGACAATTTTGAGCAAAAAAGCTTACCTATGAAAGTTGAAATTTAACCACGATTTTCTCATTTAAGAACGGTTAGAGTAGCAATAAATCAGACGGGGAGTGGCTCTTTGCGTTCTCAATTAGTGCAACAAACAGAGTGTTTGAGTCTTCACATTTCACATTTTGATTTTAGTATATAATAATCTGGTAACCAGTTTAAATGATTGTTTAAAAATTTACTGATGCTTACCATCGTATACGTATAACAATCAGTATAAATATATAGATGTGGAGTTATGGTATGACAGTTCATAGTCATTTTTCCTCATCTTTAGGTCTTCTCTTGTTTTACCGCTAATAATGTGTGGTTTAGTTTTCTGCGTTGATCTGCGTCAAAACACTGAACTAGTTTTTTGGTACCTGGTTTTTAACTGCAGATGTCAATGTCATCAGCCAAAAAAACCATACCAATAATTCTTGGCACTGAGATAACTTTGTTTTTGGCTTCAAATTTGTTTTTGGATGAAGGAGGTGTTTGGATTCAATACTCGATGGAAAACTTTTTTAAGATCTCAGCTTTGAGACTCTGCAAACGTTCTTTGAAGGACTAAAAATTGACGGGAACTCAAAATCCTGCCCTACTCCAGGGTTAAATTCCAGGTGGTCGGATTGTTTTTTAATCACCTATTAAAACACTAAAATAATCTAATAAAGACGCGTGCTTAGAAACTTAGACAGATTTATGATGACACTAAAATAGCCAATCAAAGACACGCGCTTAGAAAGCTTAGACGAGCCATTAAAAACTGTCAAAAACGCACTTTGAAGACTGAATTTGAGCATTTTGCACATCGATTGAGCTGATTTAACCAGGATCAAGTTTGCATTAAATTTCATGAGAAAAAGTGTATTTTACTTTACAAACATAATCATAAAAATTATTTGGAAAAATGGTCTGCTTTTTGGTGTCAATGTTTGCAAAGCTATCTGCTTACTGCTATTTTAGGCACTTTATTTGAGGCACTTTATTTGAGGCACTTTAATGTACAGCGCGAACAATCAGGGTTCTTGTTTTGATATAAGTAGGCCTAATTACATTGGGGTCTTTTCTGTTGTATGGCCCAAAAGATGTTTCGTTTTGGTTATTTTGAAAGTTTGATCTTCAGGCTCGAATTTGATTAGGTGGGTTTCAGATCAGTGAAAAGAAACCTCAGCCCAGTAAGCTTCTGTTTTCAATAAAAACAGAAGCTTAAGAAACAGTTT